TAGGATGGACTGGTTGGATCTCCTTGCAGTCCAAGGGACTCTCAAAAGTTTTTTCCAACACCAAAGTTCAAAAGCACCAATTCTTCAGTCCTTGGCTTTCTTTATAGCCCAACTCTCACATCCATACATGACTACTGGAAAAACTATAGCTTTGACTATACAGACCTTTGTTGGTAAAATAATGGCTCTGCTTTTTAATATGCTGTCTAGGTTGGTCATGGTTTTTCTTCCAAGGAGTAAGTGTCTTTTAATTTCAAGGCTCTAGTCACCATCTGCAGTGATTTTGGAGCCCACAAAAATAAAGTCTTTCACTGTTTCCACTGTTTCCCCATCTATTTGCCATGAAGTGATGGGACTGGATGCCATTTTGAATGTTGAGTTTTAAGCCAGCTTTTCACTCTCCTCTTTCATCAAGAGGCTCTTTAGTTCTTCTTTGCTTTCTGCCATAAGGGTGGTGCCATCTGCATATCTGAGGTTATTGATATTTCTCCCAGCAATCCTGATTCCAGCTGTGCTTCATCCAGTCCAGCATTTCTCATGATGTACTCTGCATATAAGTTAAGTAAGCAGGTTGACAATATACAGCCTTGACATACTCCTTTCCCAATTTTGAACCAAGATATAATCACCATGATTTGCTACTAGATTGGATGAGAGGGTTAAAGAGGAAGAGAGGCAAGGATGACTCCAAGGTTTATGACTTGAGTGAGCAGAAAAATGGAGTCACCTTTCAGTGATTGGGAATATGTGTAGGAGGATTCACTTGTGGAAGGAAAATCAGGAGTTTAGTTCTGGACATACTAAGTTCAAGAGGAAAATATTAGATTATTAGATACATGATTCTGGAGTTCAGGAAAGAAGTTGTGGTTGATATAAATTTAGGACTTTAAAATTAGTATTTAAAACTTCAAGACAGGATTAGGTCACCTTACATTTGCATATATAAACAAAATAAGTTTAAAATACAAACCCTTAGTTACTTTTTTACTTAGTAAACCCAGTAAGTAACCCTAAATTACTTAGTTACTTAGTTATTTGGAGGAATCAACAAAGGACACTCGGAAGAAGCAGAAAAAGTAGAAAACCTAAAGACAGTGGTATTCCTCAAACTAAGAGAAACCAGGCCTTATGAACAACTACTTTAAATACAAGTGAATTCAAGTGAAAGGAGGACTGAAAGTTGACCAATGGATCAACAGAACATTCATGAGAACTGTTCCAGTGAATTCCCAGGGATCAAAGTCTAAGTGGAATGAGTTCAAAAGAGAACATAAAGTTCACAGGGGAGTCGGTAAGTATGCACAACTCTTTCCTAAAGCAGGATATGGTGCCCAAAAGGTCTGTTTGTTTGGATGGGCGGTTTTATAGCATGATTGTTTGCTGATATGAACTTACTGTATTTCAAAATGCCTAACTGTAACACAGTTACACTATGAATTAAAATCACAGCTTTGAACTATCACACAATGTTATCCTGAGAAAGAGTATAAAGTGTTTTTCTTTGTTTCTTTATTAGCTTTATAACAAAATTTTACCATATTTCCTGAGTCTTGGCTCTATATCCCTTAGGGGAGTGGAGTCTATGTTAAATCACCTGCTGTGCTGATCAACAGAAGAATGCTAGTTCATTTAACGTATTTCCTACCTGCTAAATGCTTCTTCCAATTAAATAATTTTTGGCAAATTAGAGGCTTCTAGCAGCTAACTGAGGAATTCCTATAGTATAGAAAGGCAAGTTATTCAAGATTTTTGAGCTGAGTAAAATTTGTTTCTTTTGAGAGTCACAAATTAACTCATTTCCTAGTACCAATGCTCAGCCCATAACTCAAGGGAAAAAATTACTAGCCTCAATATCAGGAAAAAAAGCAAAACCACTGCAGTAACACCTTGATAGGGACTGCTTAGTTTCCAAATGCTTAATGTAAAAAATAAATCATCTTTAATGCTTGCCATATGGACTTTTGGAACTCTGGAATGAGTAAGATGGCTTCACATCACTTAACTGTTTATGTTCTTTTTCTCCAACTTAAAAATAATGCTAATTCTTTCATATGCTAAACTTCATATTTTAGGTTCCAAATGAAAATTTTGGTGTTTTGCTTTCTGAAGCACCTACTTAAAAGAATGGTTTTTGTTTTTTTTGCCTGAAATTCAAAACATTTAATATACATCATCCTTATGCAGCTCAATCAAGATCTGAATAGTACTGTCTTCATAACTTATAAACAACAAATATTTTTCTGAAAGGGTGCACAGATATGAGAAAGAAACCCCTTTCATAAAATACAGCACCAGTCTGCTTCTGAGATAGCTGGAAAAGGGAACACTCTAGAGGGGCAGATTGCAAACAGTTTGGATATCTCTTCAGAGTGCTCCAAACTTGGATGAATTTTTGTTATAAATCACCTTGATTAATGGAACACATCTGCTAAAGTAGTTCAGTAATAGCTACACAATTCTCATAGTTTAAAAAACAGCCTAGAAAAACTGGTGGAGGTGGGAAGCCTTCAAAAATCACTGGCTTGTCTTTTAGAACTAATACTAGCCCTGATCAGAAATAGCTGCCTTTCTTTTTTAAAATGTTTAAGACAAATACATTGTAAGGGAAGTACAATTTGAGGAGATAGAAGCAAAAATAAGAATAGGAAGTGGAGAATACTTTGGGAGAAGTAGTACTGGCATAGTAAAAAATACAAATTTTTGAATAGAACCAGGCTATCTGTGTTTGAATTCCAACCGTTTCTCTTACTAACTGTTTGAGCAATTTATTTAACCTCCCTGTGTTTCAGTTTTCCCATATGTTAAATGCTACTACCAACTACCTTTACTGGGTTACTGTCGTGATGATTAAATAAACTAATCCTTGAAAGAGTTTTAACACTTACCCTGTACTTATTCTGGTACAAAGTAAATACAGGGTAAGCGTTGACCAAAATTATTACAATTGTTTGAACATTTATAACATGCACACCAAAGTCAACTGAATACATCTGGAACAAAACAGCAGTATCCCCTAACTTATCCTCTCATCAAACATAAAAATCCAAAGGATGTTTTCCTTGAATAGAATACTTATACATATATAAAAAATACATCTTATAATATCCTGGTTATTTTTTCTGATTACTTAGCAGAGATTTTATCTAAATCCTTTCATCCTAACATTCCTCTTCTAATAATTCAGAAGAAAACAACAGTGGTGTGCACACTGTGCAAAGTTCAATTGCACACAAGTACTCAGAACTTTATATGTTTTGTTATCATTTATATGTTTTGTCATTTGTCTGTTGATAATTCCGGTCTCAGATGCTGGGAAAGATTGAAGGCAGGAGGAGAAGGGGATGACAGAGGATAAGATGGCTGGATGGCATCACTGACTCAATGGATACAAGTTTGAGCAAGCTTCGGGAGTTGGTGATGGACAGGGAAGCCTGGCATGCTGCAGTCCATGGGGTTGCAAACAGTTGGACGGGACTGAGCGACTGAACTGAACTGAATTCTGGCCTCAAGTATATGCTTGTTGCTAAAGCAACTTAGAAGTGAACTAGACTGCCTCATGAAATGATAACAGTCATGTGATGGTGAAATAATTATGTAAATAACTAACATATTTGAAAAACAAAAGGATAAGTATCCATGATGAAGACCACAGAAAAATACTGATATGTTACCTGATACTACATTCTCAACTGATATGTTACCTGATACTACATTAGGATCACCATCAGCTATTGATTCCGAGGGTGTTTAGCACTGTAGTAACAAACATCAAAAGTGTAATAAGCATTTGCACAGCTGAACCACAGTCTATTAAGGACGGTAAATAAACAATAAATTGATTATTTAATAGTCTACTGATCAAACTTACTTAATAGGGCAACAGAGGCTATTACAGGTAAAAATAAATCTACAATGATGACAATTCAACTCCTAATTATATGTTTACATTGGGGATGAAGATAAAGTTACTTGATAGATACAACAGTTCTATTAATAAACTGATAGTGACACAGAAAATTTAAGCAAAAGTAGAAAATAAATTTATAAGTAAAGAAAGAACAGCATATGCTGAGTAACAGAAGGCCCTCCCTGCCCTGCCCCACCCCAGCCACAAGCTCTGTCTCGGCAGTCAGGTGATGGTGGAGGCGGCGGACACATCTCATCTGCTCTTCACTCTTCCACTCTTCCTAACTGGGTTGGTAAGCTGACTACACCAAAGGTATACAAAATATCTATTCTGAACATTTAAATAGGATTAAAAATAACTAAACTATAAGACTACATTTGATTTTACCAGATTTGTCATTAACAAGCCAGTGGAAAAACTACGCCAGAATTCCAGATTGCATTTAGTTGTCACATCTCCTTCGTCTCCCCCAATCTATGACAATCCCTGACTTTCCTTTTTTAAAGAGTTTGACATTTTTGAAGAGTACTGGTCAGTTATGTTGCAAGATGACCCTCAATTACGGTTTGTCTGTTGTTCTCTTATGATTAGACTGAGGCTATAACTTCTTGTTACAAGAATACCACAAAAGTGATGTGCCCTTCTCGGTGCTTCAATTCAGGGGCTACATTATGTTGACATGTTGTATTATTGGTGAAGTTAACCTTGATCACTCAGTTAAGGTAGTGTCTGCCAGGTTTCTCCTCCACAAAGTTACTATTTCTCCCTTTGGAAAAAACCCTGGGAGAGATACTTTGAGACTATGCAAATCTACTATTTTCCCTCAAAACTTTGCCCAATATTTTGACACTGCTGGTGAATCCTGCCTTCAACAACTAATACTGAGATGTTTGAATGGGGCTTTAAAAGAAAATAAAATGTATAAATTATAACGGCCATGTTGTTTGTGATACATACACTTACATATTCTACTGAATGCATCGTTTCAACTTATATTCAAACACAAATAAAAGTTCTTTTCATTTGTCAGTGTGTTCAGTTAATGTTAATCAACTGTGATACCAATGAATAACATAATTGAAATGTTACTTACATAACTATGGCTTTTAAAGAAACCTGCTGGACTACTGGTGAGAATTTTGTCTCCTTCCAAACCAATTACTCTTTTACAAATATTTGATTTTGGATCACTCGGGCTTTTTGCAACCACAATGTCACCTCTGAGGGGAAAAAGTCAAAGAAAGTCAGTGTTATTATTAAGCATAAACACATGCATGGCACTGCTACAACACTTTTATAAAGCAACTTAAAGCCACACCCTTTATCCTCTCACATACTAACCCTCCCATACATTTACCAGCTTTGAGAACCTTCAAGACTAAATTTATGGGTCAGAATCCAAAAATGAGAGTGATGGAAAAACTATTAGAAGATTCTAAAATTTTTGACAATTCCACGAGAATTACCTTCTTGCACTGTACTTAGTGTGTTACTTTTGTGTCTAAATTTTTAGAACCAAAACTATAAAAAACAATCCATGTAAATATCACCAGATTAACCAAGCAAACTTTACTGCCCTGCCTGTAACATTGACTGACTCTACAGCACATATAAAGGTAAAGAGCTTAAAGAGCTTAAAGAACTGAGAAATTGCAGCATGTAAATTATATAAACCTAGACAGTTCACAGTACAGTCAAAAAGACTTATATTTGAAGAAAAATTATCAGAAGACTTAGCCAGAAAAAATACTAAAAGCTGTCCAAACATATGATACAAAAAATAAACTGGCATATCATACATATAAAACCAATATGGATAGGGTTACATATGGAAGAGATGATTCATGGAATAAGTAACAATTTGCATGCATTAGAAGACTAAGTAAGATACTTAAAATTGGAAAGGAAGGAGACAAAAATATAGGACTAATGTCCCAACCAAAAAGAATACAACACTCTTTCTGCATGAAATGAGCAATAAGTGAATTCTGTTGCTCACACTCGAAGGGATTTAATATATTTACTTATTGTCTGTACCAGGTTCTTAAAATAATTTGATGCTGCTTATGATAAAAGATGCATATATCAAAATCAAAAGTCATAAAAATAAAGGATGATGGTTAAATTAGAAACCTAGTTATTGCTATATATAAGTATTATAATGAGTTTGAAACTTTTTGGTAGTCAAGTTAAAAAGAAATTATGATTATTATCTGCCAATCATTAACTAATAAAATAAGGTTTAGTTTGAAAAGTATGACAAAATTTTTCTTAACAACTAAATCAAAGAGGAAAAGATATGTATGTAAGGAAAGTAAAGATAGCATCTTCATCAGAAATTTTACAGAAATTAAAACAGTATTCAGAATAGTCATTTCTTGAGGCTATTCTTAATAAGAGCTGTATGCTATTAAAACACTAAATTCTGTAATTTGGAGTGCAGTATAAGGCTTACACTTGTTTGAAAACGGGATAAAGCATCTCTTTCCAACCAACTGGAACTATAGCAGCAGAACTGTTCAGATGAAGAAATTTGCAAATATTGTAACATATGTAACATACTATCAAAGTTGATTATGGCTAGCTTTGGGGAGAGAAATGTTCTCTGTGAGAGTCTTATTCAGCTTAAGTTTGTCAACAAAATAATCAATATGACCCTCATAACAAACTGCACTTGAATGGCAACATAAAAAAATCATAATTTAGTCAAAGTTTTTTTTTATAGAAAGCATCATTACTGTAGACTGTACTTGCAGTGGTCTAACCAGATATTATAGGCACAGAACTTAGATCAAAAAAGATTACCTAGAACTCTTCACTCTTTCAAATAGCATTTTAAAATAAACTTAACAGAACTAAGATTCAAATTTTCCTATATAATTTATAATCATCCTTATTATTCTAGTAGATTATAAGCTTTTGAGATGAAGGATCAACCTCTTACTCAACCCAATATTTTCTATAGAGTAGAGCACATCTTATAAATGAGGTGCTCACTGACTGTTCAAAGAGTGAGCAGTAATAAGGGATGACTGTCTCAGGCATGAGAGTTCTGTCCACTGGACTGAAAAATCCATGTGCTTTAGATACCAGATATGCAGTCTTTTATCGTCCCTAAATGGATGACTATTCTGTCTTTAGAAACAGGCAGCTAGCAAGAGTATCTCTTGTCAGGTGTAAGAGATGTGCCTGAAATCTCAGAGCTCTGTGCTGCAGATTAACGAAAAAAATATTCAGGATAGTAATGTTTTTAAAGTAGAGTTACCAACTGACTACGTTGGTTGTAAAAGTTACTCTGGTATGTCTCACATAAATGCCAAATTTTGAGCTGTCTTTCCAGCCAATGGGTTCCCTGAATGAACAGAATACAAAATGAAACTTTCAAACAACTTATTTACTAAAAATAATTATTTATATTATCCATCTGACTGCAAAGAGTATCCCCTCCAAAAAAAGACAATATTGAAGTATTCATTCAGAAACTATTTAGCCAATGAATCCAGCTTCTTGTTAAGGATGCTTAAAGACTAGAGTGAATCACGTGATTAGCATGGAAAACATTCGCTTGTCTTCATGTTGTAGTGAACCTAGGTCTTCAGTTAATCCAAAGACTGTACTAAGTTATTTCGATATAAGGTAAAAAGAAAAGGAAGCTAGAATATAACCTGTTATATAAACTTTATTTTTTTACCCCCATATCTATCAATTAGGCATCCTGAAGTTGCTGGGGAGAAAAGATCTTAAGAATTACCTAAGGCCCAGCTAGACCATAATGCCTGAGGAAGAAAGGGTTTCTATCTATAGAAGCTAAGGTGGTGGAAGATCAGTAAATGCAAAAAACAGTTTTACACTGTTCTTGGTGATTTTCCAGTAATGTGAAATACACTATAGAAAAGGTCAATAATGAAAGAGGAATACCTAAACCTACTTATGCCATAAGATAAATAACAGCTCAAATGAGTAAAATTTATATTTTCTGAAGATGAAATGTAATACAGATTTATTTTTTAAGAATTATGAAAAACTAATGGACTCCAAATTTTAGGGAATCAAAGAGGTTCCCTTTGGAAAATATATTAAATGACTAATACTTGACATCAATTCAGAAGAATAACACTCCAGGAGTTAAGTAGAATAAATAATATCTTAAGGATTGGAAACACCATTTAGAAGAGGATTTTAAAAGATTTAGTGGCAAATAATATTTGCCGAGGAATTTTGTAACTTAATATAATTAATCAGAAAACTCATAATAGACAGGATTCCTGGGTCCCAGCTATATACAGTGCTATACAGTCTAAAAGTCATCAACTGCTCATCACAGACTATAGAGAATAAGACGGTCAACAACAGAAATGCAGGATTATTTTGAAAATTAAAAAATCAAATCATTAAGATTTGAATATGTAACTGGCTCCTAAGTCTCTAGTTCTCCACTCGAACGATCCAAGAGACTGAATATTTAGAAAATTATTAAAATTTCTCACAATGAAAGAAAAAATTTGAGTCAAAATTTCATCCAGTCGGTCATTAATTTGGTTATTTACAGAAGAGTTTTTAAAGCTAATGTTAAGAAACTGCAGAAAGGACACAATATGTATGTGTGTTTTTGCCATGAATTTAATATATTTGTGACAGAAATTTACCTTTGGATACCATAAAAATGTCGACTAAGATTTTCTGCAAAGACAATATCTGAATTTTGAATTGTAGGCTCCATGGATGGTCCAGAACACTGAAAGAAAGGTAATTTTTAAATTTAACTTGAAAACCTTTTAAAATATAAATATCTGATCAGGCTTAAAAGAAAATCAAGCAAATATTCTTTAAACTTGGAGGATGATTTATAAAAAGCTGGTAGCTCCAAGAGAAGTTCAACTCTATAGAGAAGCCAGCAAATCTGGAACACAGGCAAAATATATTTTAAATGGTTTATTAATATTATATTATAAAAAATGAATAACATTACCTCTGGGTCCAAATTTTGGCCATCTTGTAAAATATAAGTGCTTTGAGAGCAGTGACTTTGTCTCTTAAGTTCCCAATTGCTAAACAAGATCACGAACAGTGCTTAGCATAAAGTTGATACTCAACACATACTTGTTGAATGAACAAATGAATGATGTTTTTCTTCTTGCTATGGCCAAATATCATCTATAAGCCCATGACAGTAATTTAGCAAGTGGTATCATACTATTTTCAACTAACTGATGTCTTTCATTCTCTTCAAGAGAATAGCTTATTCATTTTGGGGGGCTGCAAGTTACATTTTCTACTGAAAAATACTGGCATAATGAGATGCACTTAAAAAACTTTCATATTAGTGTGTCTTAACAATAATCTTCATATATACCTCAAAACGGGTATGAGGTACATATGGACAGGGAGTTGGTGATGGACAGAGAAGCCTGGTATGCTGCAGTCCATGCGGCTGCAAAGAATTGGACACGACTGAGTGACTGAACTGAACTGATACCTCAAAACTGTAGTATATTATCATTGTAATCTAAAAAATCTACATACAACAGTTTTCATCCAATTCAGTTGTATGTAAATAAAACTTTTTACTCAAAACTTCCTACTCAGGCAGGAAAAAAGACCACAATGAAAGTTTTTTGCTGTGTGTCTCTGTAGTCTACTGGAGGCACCAGTATAGATTAAAAAAAAAAAATCAAAGGGGAATTTCAGTTAGATATATTTATTTGCCTAAATATAGTTATTAGAATTATTCCAACTCGAGATTATACGACTATAAATCTCTTTAGGGTAGACCTGTAAACACAGCAACACCAACAGCAAAACTCACTGACTGAACAATCAACCAAATTATTATTTCATTTATATGACAAAAGGTGAGTACTGTCATGGTTGATAGATTTATGATGCAATATTAAGAAAATACATTGGGAAAAGGACAGCCTTAACATTTTAATTTTGACACAAGGCAGAATAAACCATTTGTTTTAGTAACAGTTATTGACACTCTTCGCAGAAGTTAAAAAGTAGGATTTTTGAAAATCAGAGAACTCTGTGCTGAAATTCCAAGTCTGCTTGGAGTTGTGGGACTTGTACAAGTTACTTCAGCTTTCTGAGCCTCAGCTTCCTCATGTCCATAGTATTGGTAAACTTCTAGTGAGTAGTTCAGAGGCTTCCCTGTAGCTCAGTGGTAAACAATCTGCTTGCAACTCAGGAGATGCGGATTCAGTCCCTGGGTCAGGAAGATCCTCTGAACAAGGAAATGGCAACCCACTCTAGTATTCCTGCCTGGGAAATTCCATGGATGGAGGAGCCTGGTGGGCTACAGTCCATGGGGTTGCAAAAGAGTTGTACAGAGCTTAGCAACTAAACAACAATAATATGTATCTCACAGAGTGTAAAAGATTAAATAAGTTAATAAACATAAAATATCAAACACATCCTGGAACACAGTAAGTAGTATTCAATAATGGGAAAAACTAATATTTTATTAGATTAACAGGGGCTTTTGTGCCCCTGAAAGAAACAATACAGGACCACATTTAAAGTTACAGTTCTGTTTTACATCAGTGCCAATGCAAACAAACACTCTTCCTTCAATTTAAAAAAATAACATATTTTATATGATTATTTTCTTGAATGTGAGCACTTACCATGAGAACACCACCAACGTATTCAAAAGCACAATGAGCTATGCAGCCATACTGAATAGTATAGCCAACAAGTCGAAAGGTTTTTCCCAGAACACCACGAAGCATAGTTCTATGTAGACTCTGCCACCATTGGCCTGATGGTAAATTTCAAAAAGTTTCATGATCAATACTATTTAAAAATATTTAAGAGATAACTCTACTGTAAAATATTAAACAATTACCCAAAGGGTAGTAAATGCCTAATATAATTTGTGCAGAAAATCAAAAGTTTACTTTCATTTTTGCTATACAGATTTTTTTTAAAGGTAAATCATAGCCACTTAATATTCTGATCTACTAAACAGATTATATTCAAATATTACTGGGTTTAAATATAAATTAGATAACTAGTAGACTCTGAACTTGTCTCTCCCCTTTCATGCCCTGGTTATTCCTTGATATCAAAGCCGATACTTAAGATACTACCTCTTTCAAGTATTAATAATAGTTCTTCATACTATTGCCAGTGATAGAACATCAGTTCTTGTCATAACCTAACAGGGTTATAAACAGGAAAAAACTAGAATAAATGTATGAAAAGGAAAGTTTTAAATTACTTCCTTTATTAACTTGTGTGATCTTCAATGAATTACTTCATCTCTATGAGCCTTAATAAAATGGAAATAACAGTATCTCACAAAATGGTTCAAGAATCAAATTCAATTAACATGTCCTAGTGGCTTTGTAAATTGTAGTTACATTCAGTTGTCAGTTATTAATTGCTACTATAACAATGAACACATGATTATGAAACACCGTTAAGAACCATATATATTTTAAAAAGCCATATATACTTGACATACTGATATTATTCATCTAAAATATTCCTAGTATTTGTCCCTTCAGTATTTACCTGCTACAGCTATGTTTCAAGCATTTCTGAACTAATGGCCTAATGCTTAGGCCTAGACTTCTAGGCACTGTTATCAGATTAAATTTACTAAAACACATCAACAATAATAACATGTAACATTTGCTCAATGCTTGGTATATAAGTCAGGCTTTACAAATTAATCTCTGTGAGACAGATATTATTACTATTATCATTTTATAGATAAGGAACCTAAGTGTAGTCAGCTTACATGCTAAACATCACAAAACTAGAAACTCAAGAACCTAACCATTATGTTATACTGACTCCCATATTTCTCCCTTGCTCTCATAACTTCAATAGTTTTCTACTGCATATTACTCACTTTCAGGATTCTTTTTCAAATAGCTTCCATCCCATCTTCAGATTCCAACCTGAGCTTCCTCGATGCTCCTACAGAAACTTACTGCTCAACCATACTCCTGTTTACTTAAACTGCCCACCGAACACTTAATGCTTTCAATAAGCAAGTTGTTGCTTCTCATTTGGGTTCCCATTGTTCATTTTCAATGATTAAGAATACTGTCTCTAAAGTTGATCTGTCAAAGCAGATACCCTGGCTCCACCACATTTTAGCTGTGTGACGTTCAGGTTATTCTACCTATGTAAATCTCAAGTGCCTTTACCTGTAAAATGGCCTTACTATCACTATCTCAGAGAGTTAAGTCAGGATTACTTGTAATCAGATATGAAGAGTGTGTAGTGAAATAGATCAATAAATATTACTGTGTCATTTGCTTGGCGATTAGCATGTACTATATAACCTTATATAATTAAGTTCCATTTCCAAATGTCTAAGTTTCTGCCTATCTTATGTTTAAATAAAATAGATTTTTTTTTTTCCCTTTTGGATGCACCATGCAATTTCCCTGACCAGGGAGTGAGCCCAAGCCCTAGGCAGGGAAAGCACAAAGTCCTAACCACTGGACCTCCAGGGAAGTTGCAATAATAGGATTTTAGAACCCACAGGATAGGACTATTATTTATCAGTGTTTTATTACTTATTAGTGTTTAGTCACCTATTAAACATAGATTGTATCTTCCCTGGTGGCTCAGAGGTTAAAGCGTCTGCCTCCAATTCAGAAGACCCAGGTTTGATCCCTGGGTCGGGAAGATCCCCGAGAAGGAAATGGCAACCCACTCCAGTATTCTTGCCTGGAGAATCCCATGGACAGAGGAGCCTGGTAGGCTATAGTCCACAGGGTCGCAGAGTCGGACATGACTGAGCGACTTCACTACTTTCTAAACATAGATTATGTCGTCTCCCCTAACAAGTCTTCACTGGGCCACCCCAACAAATGTTACCTATGCTTTGTATCACTTACCTAATTTCAGCAAACACTGATTATAATACCGCACTATATTATTTGTATCTTTCTCTTATTATATATTTTATTCCATACTACATTTGCTTGTATGTCGGTGGGCAGTGACTGTGCACTATTCATCTTTGAATCCATGGGGCTTGACTGAATTAATGAATATATACTGAACACAAATCTCCTATATTTTCCACATCTTTAGTATAATAAAATGGTATTAAGGTTCAAAATGATCAGAAGAACACTGAGATTTTGGTCAACAAGGAGACACTGAAAGAAGAAACTATCAGTAACATATGAAAAAATGTTCTTGTTAAATTTTTTAAGTAACATGAACTATTCCATCTTAGGAATCTGACTTACAGTAATAACTGACATATTTTAAAAACTAATGATTTTTTAGAATTTAATAAGTTAATAAACAGTGATACTTAAAAACACTTCATAACTAAAGCGAGGGGAGGGATGGAAAGGAGGGAGACTTCTGTCCGCACAGGAATGCGGGAGGCGGCGGCCGCCCAGGCGGCCGGCTGGCGGTCTGTCCGGTGGTCTTTCCAGTGTAAGGAAAATGGAGAGCGAGAAAGTGGGGAGCGGCGTAAAAAGAGGGCCGGTGCGAAGGTGGCTCCTTGCCTGCCCCTGCCCCTGCCCCGTCGGCCCCTCCACGCCTCCATCCCCGCCGGGCACCCCACCCACCACCCGCTCAATCGCCAGGGTGACCCACCCAGTCCCGCGCCCCGCGGCGTCGTCTCTGGCGTCTCTCTTCCGCCCGACCTCCCCGCCACATCACTGGAGAGTGGGTCCGACGGTTCTGGGTGACCGAGCTCCCTCTCCCCGCCCCCAATGCGCCTTCGCCTCTGGCGCCGGCCACAACTGCCCCGGGTTAGCGGCAGCACAGCGCGGAGCCTCTGGCGCGTCTCGCAGACTGCACGGCATGGCGGTGCATGGCTCCTCGACGGGAGCCGGCCCTGGACCGGTCTGCCTGGCTGGCCGTCGGTCGTCCACTGCTCTGGACCCGGTGCCCGGTCGCCAGGCGCCTCTGCCCGCCCTCCGAACCTTGGGACTTCCCCATCTTCTCCCCCGCTCCCCGTCCAGCGCTCGCTCGCTTGCTCCTCTCTGACTGCAGTGCAGGAGCCCTCGGTTCGATTCCTGGGTCAGGAAGATCCCCTGGCGAAGGAAATGGCAACCCATTCCAGTATTCTTGTCTGGAAAATTCCATGGACAGAGGAGGCCGGCAGGCTACAGTCCATGGAGTCGCAGGAGTTAGACACGACTGAGCGACCAAACCACCACCACCACTAAAGCTCAATTAATTCAAAAAAGATCTAAGAGGAGTAACAGTAACAGAATATTATTTGTAAAGTTAACTAGGTTGTGTAAATACCACTTTGCTCCCATTATAATATTAGGGAAAAAGTCGGGGCACGACTTAGCAACTAAGCAACAACAACAAGGGCAAGTCCTAAGGCTTAGCTGCGAAAGTGTGATCTATGAGACAAACCCTAAACAGTAGTGAAATGGATATTACATTTAAAAAACAAAATAAAAACGAGCTTATCTGATGTTACAGAGGGGATATATTATCAAACAAAAGGAAACATGAGGCACTCAGCAAGAAGACATTGATAATACAGATATAAGGTGAAATTTAGAGAGGAAATGAATAGAAATCTACCGAAATTTATATAATTTGAATTGTGCAATATATTTTGCTTTTGGCTAAAAAACATACTTAAAAAAAAATACAAAGATGCTATAACTATACAATGGTTCTGATCTTCTGAGAAGTCCTGTAGTTAACTTCAATTCACAAGTATTTGGGGCCATAAACCCTTTTTTTATTATTACTCAGTAAATGTCCAATTTCAAATACAATGTTTGAGAAGAAACTATCTCATAAAATACTAAAATAAATCAGTGATCAGAAGAAAAAAGTTAACAGACATCATTTCTTCCTTACAGATACTAGCAACAGAATGGAGGCTGAAGTATCTGAAATAATTTTGGATCTTAGTCTCTTAAATAGAAAGAGCTATGGAGCTATTTATAGAGGACTCTGAGGATCAAGACTAGTTGGTCTTATATTTTAAAAGAGGAGCACTGTTGAGAAATACTGAAACTGAGATTAAGAACTCACAAATTTATTTAAGAGAAACATCAAGAGTAGAAAGTAACATTCATATAGTGTTAGTAGCTCAATCACATCCAACTCTTTGCGACCCAATGGATGTAGCCCCCCAGGTTCCTCTGTCCAAGAGATTCCCCAGGCCAAGAATACTGGAGTGGGTAGCCATTCCCTTCTCCAGGGGATCTTCTCCACCAGGGATAAAACCTGGGCCTTCTGCATTGCAGGCAGACTCTATACAGTCTGGGCCACCAGGGAAGCCCAAATTCATGTCAGATATGAAAAATCACACACACTGCTAGGGTTCAATCTCTCTACTGGCTAAACGGATTAAGACAGGGGTTTCATACCTCTGGTTAACACAGTGATTTCAAAGGATCCATAACTCTATATGTGCATACATGTGCCAGATATCTTGTTTGTCACTTTGGATTTGCTCTCTACCTTTCTCCATACTGCTCTCTGCACTTGGAAAACTGACCTATATGAACTCTATCAAGGCACTTCAGTCAAGCTTTGACTGAACCCCAGCAGGAAGTCAGAGAGAGAAAGGAAGGGTTATTTTCCTGGCTAGTTCCTTGGGTATTCTTCTTAGGCTGGCTATGTCTTTTGACCAAAGGTCACTGACACCCCAAAGGCATAGGAGTCTTTGAGGGGTCTCTTACTAGCCAAGTTGGAGATTATTTTAAAAAGTAGTAACAGTAATAAATAATATAGTAGAATAAAAATGAAATCTAGTCAATACATTTTAAAAAAAAAGTATGTGTTGGGGATAAGGAA